AGGCCAGCCTGGGCTACCAAGTGAGCTCCAGGAAAGGCGCAAAGCTACGCAGAGAAACCCTGTCTCGAAAAAACCAAAAAAAAAAAAAAAAAAGAACACACTACCAAATTCAGCTTTGTATAGGAGTTCAAGGACTTAAACTTGGATACTCAAGTTTTCAAGGCAAACAGTTTATTGACTGAGATATTTGCCCAAAAACACATAAATTATTGTCCACCCTTGCTATTTTACATGTGATTTTTCCATGATGCAACAAATCCCTTTGAGAAATCCTCATATGCCATGCTTCCAGTTATTGTGGTAGCTTTCTTAGTATATTGTTTTCCATGATTTAAAAATTTAACACCTAGTTAATACTATCTCAGGTATATTGTATTCCCCATAATGATACAGAATATGAATTTGAGCATTTCATAGATTAAAATAATCTCTATATTAAAATGTTAAAAATGTTGCTTCTCCCAAACCTACATTTTATGAATTATAGCCACTCAACCATAATGTCTACCTAGTCTCGATTCCACTTAGATGTGCAATATATGGCATACGTAACATATGCAGATTCAAAGTCCTTTGCTTTCTTAAATTTTTTGGTTCCAACATCGAGGTTTCTTGTCATAGCATTCAAAACTTCACTTTATTTTCACTCTCACCAATTTCTTTATCTTAACTATCAAAAGACACATGCAATGTCAATGATTCTCAACACTGTAAGAACATACCTAGTCATGAATCTTTAGCGTAAGTGATGTGCTCATTAGCTGTTGAAGAGACCGTGTTTTGTAAAAAGCCAGAATCTGCTCTGCTCTTGCTCTGGCTATTTTTGTTATGATCTGCTACTGTTTTAATACTTAATTAGTTGCAAGCTTATCTTAATAAATAATAAGTATATTCCAAATAATTTTGTTTCATGCCCATAATTACAAAAAAATATTGTTTTCTTTATCTAACTACTAGTGAAACCCATAATTCTTCAATATCATACGAGAAATAAGATTATTTTATACTGTTTGTGTTTTGCACACACACACAACTCACACTCAAACACTATCACATGCAAAATCATGCACACACACATACAAACACACACACACGCAGTTCACTATTTGCAGGGGTTTGACTTCTAATAGTATCCCTTTACATTATCTCTTGCTTATTTTTCATTTTGTTATTTTCTATAGAGGTTTCATTTTTTATACAGCAGAGAGTATTCCTTTCAATACTTCTGTCCATTGTATAAACTTCTACTTCAGTGTTGTAAACAAAATACCTATACTTCTCTATATAGCGTAAGACAAATCTCACTTCTAAAGCCCATTAAAATTTATAAA